TGAAGGCGCCTGGGTCTCCTCAGTATCCGTCCAGGATGATCTGGACATAAAGCATGAGTCCCAGGGGTAAAAAACTTCAGAATTGGTGCTAAGAGGTGACTTAAAACAGGGTCCTTTAAGAATGAAGTCTCTTACTCACGTCCATGTTGCAGGAACTCTCATGGCAGAATGAAAAGAAAAGGAAGTTCTCCCCTCTTGCAGGAAGAGGTGGAGCCAAACAGTGCTGATTGACAGCTACAAGTAACCAATCCATACAAATATACAGAAACATGGCAAAAAGGGGCAGGATTAAGCATGATACAACAGTTTAAATCTTACAACTAACAGTTCTATACATAGGTGGCGCCACTCGCGCCGTCACAGCTTAGTCAAAATGAGCAATTACAGCTAGCAACTAACATCCACCCAGAAAATAGAAAGTACAGTACAGTATTACCTGCCTGTTCTTAGGGAACATACAGGACTTTAGTGCAAAAAGCACATTTCCCTTTCTTCTTGCCCTATCATGTAACAGTTGAGCATAGATTGCCTCACGAGTGCGATAGACAGAGACAGGCATGTAGCCGGGGGGGGGGGCTTGAGGGGCTCCCATATGCATGGGGGTATTGGGGTAATGATACAAAAGGTTTGCTAGGCTAGACCCTCTTTCACTCAGACTCAGCCTCCCCCCCCCGAAACTCAGCCCCCCCAACCCCCCCTAAAAAAAATTAGCGCCCCCCCCCCGAAACGAAATCCTGGCTATGGGCCTGGACAGAGACAAAGGACAGAGCCTTCTCAGTGGTGGCCCCCCAGCTATGGCACTCCCTTGAGTTGTTGTGTGGCTGAGAAAGGTGGGTTATAAATATCGTAAATAAATAAATAGCAAATACATTTTGGGATGAACACTTTTGATATTACCCCTCTCTTTGTTCGGTATTACGCCTCTCTTTATTACAATGCTCCTGTGAAAGTACAGTATTTTTTCGAGACAAATGTGCATCTTTTTGGCTAAAAGACATGGCTAAAATAAGGGGGCACATTAGTATCAAGTATTATGGTAATCTTAGTGCTGAGCCAAAGTGAAAGGGAAAGTTCCTTTAGAATGCCAGGAAGCTTGCAAACAGGGAAAAGAGGAGGAAAAGACTCAAAAGAAGGAAGCCACCTGCTTTTCGGAGATTTTCTGCCTCCTTTTGCCAAGGTTAGACTTCTTTTTTTTTCCAGCTCCTTCGGCTGAAATACAACCTACTCCAACAGGTATTCCTTGAGGGTCTCCCATTCAACTGACCCTGCTTAGTTTCCAAGATTAGCTAGGACTTTCCTCATCCCACCTTAAAACCTGCAGAATTCTAGGGCATGTAGTTGAGTGCGCCCCAGGACATCTCTTGCTGGGAAAGGTAAAAGCCCCTCCCTAAACTACAAGCCACAGAATTATGGAGGCACATACTAGAAATCCTATTTTGGAAGCGGGGGGGGG